TCATGCATATATTCCAAGCCCAAGTGACAATTTTGTAACAAAACCCAACCGCCCTCTTCCAAGCAGGTGGCCACTAATTTGCGGGCATGTATCTCCTGACCCTGACCCATGGAAATAGGATAACATTTAAGCTCGTTTTTCTTGGCCAAAGCCTCTATGTTCGATGACGGATCGGAACCCATAGATAGAAAACAAACTATGGGTATAAGAGGTTTACTTTCCGTCAATAAACCATCAAAACTTAATATAACCGGTTCTGCAAAGCGTTCTCCCAATGAACTGGCTATATATTTACGACTTTGTGATAAAGTACGATCCGTACACCAGGAGCGCACTAATAAAAGTTTACGAAAAGGATCGAGAGCATTATAACCATCAGGTATAGTTTCATTTTCAGGACACTCCTTCTTGTACCAATGAAACCAGGCACGTTCATTGTTCGACACCTTATTCAAATATGGACAAATGGAGCCAAATTTGTTAGTTGAACCAAATTTAACCAAGTTTCATCGGTAATCCATTTAAAAGGTACCGGAGGACAATCATTTAGATTTAAGGCAGCTCCACCTTTAATAAAGTTTTGAAACTCTTCATAGCTTACCAGATCCATTTGACGATCTATGTTGAGAGCCATTAGTAAGACAAATAAGAATTTATCTTTTTCATAAAGTCCTCGTGATTTATATCTATAAATCTCGAATGTTAAATAGGCGATTATACGTTTAATACGTTTCTGCGTTATATGGGTTTTGGCTGATAAATGCATGCTGGCATCGAAACGATCGAGAAACTGTACCAAGGAAGTCTGATACATCATATTTACTTTGGCCATGGTACAGACCAAAAAATACAAAACGCTTCCACGTGTAGCCACTGGACGATATTCCTCACGCGCTATATTTATTTTAGCTTCAGTTATTTTGGCAATTTCCAATTTTTCATTGACTTCTATGGCCGTGTTTTTACTGGTATTCAGTACCTCTATGACAGTAACATCATCCAACAAACTGCCCTGGGTAGTGGATAACTTATGCAGTAAATTAGCTTCCAATTCTTTCATTTTCTTCATATTTCCCGTAACAGTCTCCACTAGATTTGTGCGTTCTTCTTCGAGTTCTTTACGTTCTGTTAGAATAACTCTACCCAGTAATTGATCTTCTAAACCTTTCATGGTTACAGTAAAGTCTATAATAGAAGTTCGAGCTGATACCTCGGGTGTATAGGAAGGATTGGGTAATTTGGTGGTTATATAACAACGAAAAGCGGCATTATAGTCGATTTCTTTATCACCTAATTTGATTTTGAAGGTGGTGCCCACTTTCAAAAGATTACGATCTAATACATTATCCAAACAGGGATCTAATTCTTCACCTACATCTTCTATAATGACGGGTAAACCCATACTAACGGCATCCTCTATATGCGTACGGAAGTAACGATGCGACAAATTGGTTACAATTAAACCATTCTCCTTTTCCTTGTTCTTAATCCAAGCTTTGCCCTGCGACTGTGGATCGATCAGCAGAGGAAATCTTACCGCCTTGGTAGCTATAATACCATTTTGTATAGACAATTCATCGGTGGGTAAACCCTGTAGATTCCATTCTCCGATTTGGGTACGATCTGTTAAACTGTCTATGATATTTAAATTCATCGATATGGGTATTAAACGTTCAAAAATTTGCTTCAACCATTGAGCCTGTAAGTCGGTACGAAACTCTTGATTGAAAGGGCCGGTATAGGATAGAAAGCTGTTAGTAATATAGAGTCTCCTACCAAACGTTCAGTTTCACTTTTAAATTGAGCAATTTGTTCAGTCCAACGTATTTTCTCTCCCGCCAAACCACTGATAAGAGCCGTAGCTGCATCCATTTTGTCTTGACATTTTTTAGCCTCTTGGAGTACAGCATTTTTCTTAGAAATTGCTTCATCAAATTGTTGCTGCACTTTGGCTAGTTCACGCTCTTTGGCGGCAAATAGATCTTCGGCTTCCTGCAGATCACTGGAAGCTTTGGCATATTTAGCTGCTTGTACCGCTAAATTGGCCTTTAGGGGTAATACTTCTTTATTGACTTCAAAGTATTTAGCCATAGCTATGGTCCACGACAATAAACCAGCCACATTACCACAAGCCACTTTGGCCGCTTCGAAGGTATACAGACTAAGGAAACAAAAGTATACTTATAAAGGAAATAAGCTATTAATTCATTATTTCAAACCTATAATTAAAATAGGGCAACATTAGGTCAACCATTTCGGCATTGATAACATCAGTGGGATATTCCACAATTTTTCTCAGAAAACTAGTATCGGACATAACTTTCAAAGACTCTTCCCAGGAACTCTGTAAAAATTGTTTCTCCATATCGGGTTTTACCGGTTTAATGCGTTTACGAAACAATATACACACACAATCCATAATCAGGGTAATCAAATAAGGAGGTTTACCCAATTTACGCACTGTAGCTATATCAGCAGCTTTAATAGTCTAGGAAAAGTTAAAAAAAATTGTTTTAAAATATTAAATAAATTTTAAAATAAAACAGCAACCTTTAAGGCAGCTTCAGCTTCTTCTAAAGCTGGCCTGGCCTTTTCCAATTTTGCCTCGGCCACTTCTTTATCAGCGGATATCAATTTCACTAACTCCCCAGCTTGGGCTTTCTTCTCCGCCACTTGGGTTTTTATTATTTCGGCAGCTGCTGTAGACTCAGCCACAGTTTGCAATACCACTTCGGCTTCCTCCGTGGCTACTACTATCACTTTATTCATTTCAACCAAATCTTTCTTTAACACCGACACTGAAGCCCCCGCTTCATCCAACTTATCCAAACCGGAAGACATTCTTTCCGATAAAACTACAATATTAACCTGTTTATCCTTATATAGTTTTTTATAACTTTCCAAAAATGATATCAATGACTTGGGTGTGACAAAGGTAGTTCTACGGAATCTATCAAAATAGGAAATACAAGCTTCTGAAACAGTTTCATGTATCCAACTCATAATGTCTATGACTTGTTCTTTGATCTCATCCGAACAAATAATTTCAAAATTCTGCAAATAATGACGTGATACAGCGACACGGGCATCTTCCGGCCATTTTTGGAACCAATCAATAACACAACCAGATATTAAACCGGGAAATTTTAAAGAACGGACCCGAAATTTTTCACCAATCTGAGAAAATCATAAAAATTTATTACAGCCATTGCAAGTTCAAATAAAAGCACTAAAGCTATTTACGGGCGAAAAACAGAGAGCCACATGCAGGTTGGAACGTGCCCGGGATATAAAGAAATCATAAAGATTATCTTGTGTAGGAGGCCTTCTGGGTTGTACTTTCTTCATAATGGGTATAATTTCGTTGTAAATTTCATCTGAAATCACGTTATTTTATAAATTTATTCAACGGTCTTATAAAATAAGTTTACCCATTTCATCTTTGGCAAATAAGTTGGCTATTTCCCCAGAACTCAATATGTTATTAATGTACTCCAAGAAACCCTCATCTTTAATTTCATTATCGGTAAATATAAACGTTATACCCTGACCTTCCAAACCAGCGGTACGGTATAAATATTTTAAATCGTCCACTAAATTTCCGGCATTATAGGCTCGAGTCAAAGTTATTTGGAAAAATTTATAGCCTGCTATAAAAGAGGCCAAACGGGTTAAACTTTGTTTGCCAGAACCGCCCACACCCACCAACAAAGCATTTCCCCTAGAATTAATTTATTTAAAAAATCATGTTTAACCCTTTATTGGCTATTTACCTAGGCATACTAATAATACGTGACACGATCATTAAATGGACCAAAGCATCGTGGAAGAATACCATGTCCAAATGAAAACCTCGTACATATTCATTGAACTGACCCATATACCAAAATATGCGATTTTTAACCGTTTCCATGCTAAAGGAACAATTAATTAATATAATTACAAACTTCTGAAATTCAATTTCTTAAATAGAACTAGAAAACTCCCAAAAATAACTAGAAATATTATAGAAAATAAACGATAAACACTTCATCATATTACCTTGGAATCTCTTCGTAAATCTTCGGAGGTTCTAAGGAAATATCTTCATCATCTTCCCCAGCATCTGGTGGATCTCTTAGGAAATCCACAAAGAAACTCTCATCCTCAGGGAACTCTTCCCAATATTCAGCCAAATGAGATTTAGCATCTTTTTTCATACGATCTATAAACCATAAGGTATCTTTGTAATCCGTGAAACGATCAGCTATTACACGTGTACACTCGTGGCGCCATAATTTCAAAATATCCGACACCGTTTGGCATTCATCTGGAGCCACTTTTAAAATACCCTCCCAAATACGCGATAAATCACGTAAATTAAAAACATAATGGAAGTTCGAAGGTGTTGGTAACATTTTCGCTTTAATATTTTGCCAGAAAATACGAGTTAAAGGTACTAGGAGCGGAACAACATCTACCACTTCTTCGACAAAGCGGGCCAAACAAAAGTAGCCCGAACCAATTTGACTGAAAATTTGATCCATTGAATTATTGCTGGGTAAAGTGCAATTGAAAATGGACATATGACGTTTCAGGCGATGAGGAATATCATTGCGACCTCCTCCCGGATGAATCATAGCCGCTAAGATTTGTATATCCAAAATGGTGGAAAAGTCACCTTTAAAGTAAGCAATATTAAACAAAACAGATCAAAAGAGTTCCTTGTCTTTTAAAATTACCCGGTTTTTCCAAAGAATAGAAACCATGTTGTTCTATCATTTGACGCACAATTTCATTGGTAATTTGATCACCCCAGGCATTTATTACCGGCATGTTTATATCATCTATGAATATAGTCATGGATCTTTGACCAGGAGGGCCATAGGTTGTACCCACACGCTTTTCCACATATGATTCAATAATGCGCTAGAAAAAATTTACAAATTATGGGGCTGCTCCTAATTTTAACCCATTTTTCATATACCTGATACATATTGGGCGTAGTGGCAGACGAAAAATTAAAGGATTTATATAAATGAACCTCTGGATCATAATTAGACATATAACCTTTTATCATCACCGTCTTGGCGGTGCCCTGTTCCCCTATCAACAAAACCTGTTTACGTTGTTTGGCAATATTGTGCATAAGAAAAGCAGTACGGACATTGTCCACATTCGGTACCAAAATCGAAGCAAATTCTGGTATACTATCTTCCGGATATATAAAACTTTCTACTCGAGTATTCCAATGTTGCCAATTGCCACTATCATCCACATAGTATTCGAATATGTTTTCAGTAGGTAGTTTTTTAGGCCATTCTTAAAATATAGCAAAAATCAAGCATTAATATTAATGGGATTATTCTGTACCTTAACATACTCATTTTAGATGGATGTTTAAGCAAGAATTCTTCTAATTTATCGCGTTCATTTATCTCCAATACCGCACCCAAAGTCCACATCATGGCAAATAGGAATGTACGTTCTAAGTACTTTTCTGATCTATTGCTGCAATCGGCCAATAAACCATCAAGTATTTCCAATAATTGTTTTATATAGATGGCCTCTAAGATTCGCATTTTAGCCATAAGTTTAGTTTGCAAAAAAGTATGGGCCTCATCATAAATGGCCGCAAAACATTTCCGAAATATATCTTGTTCGAAAGCTGGCTGTCGGCGAACCCATGCTGAAAAAGTTTTATATCGTATTGTTGTTTATTATTTAAAAATCTTAACGAAGATTTAATAACCACAGACAGATATTAAATCTAGGAAACCTTTAGAATATTTATCATACTGCTGAACAATTTTGTTCTCCTAATTACTCTCTTACCTTCCATATATATAGTCCACTTTAAAACTGATGAACTCATAAATGTCATGCCCACACGTGATACCGTAGCCGGCGAAGCATTATCTACATTATCCGGTTCAAATACCAATTTTGAATTTTCTGCCATTTTAATACGATCACCATTAGCTAATGTTAATGTCTTATTGTCATCCAGTACAGAATTCAAATTTTCAATCCAAACAGCATCGACTGGACCATCCAAAACAATCCAAGTGTTTTGGTTTTTAGGAACTTTAAGTGAACGTCTCCATAAGGTGGAAAATATACCATCAGTCCAATCATTGGTGGCAACATCTAGGCGACCAAACATTTGAGGTGCCGTTATAGCCTTGGGATTCATTCTCATTTCCTTGTGGGGACGCCCCATTTCGGTAAAACATTTTAGCATGGCTATGGTGCAACTTGTTTTGCCCGAACCCGTGGGACCCATTAACATTAGACCATGTCTAACTAAAGAGGTTTCATACAATTGTACTACTTTAAGATTCCATTCCGGATTATTAACATAACCCAACTCTTCTGTTATTTTAACTAAAGCTCTTTGTAAATCCTTATAGGTATTAGTGGTAAGTTTAATACCCGGAAACATGTCCTCGATGAGAGATAGAAATAGTCCCTCATCTTCGTCGATTAGTTTAGAGACATTCATGTCTCTTAAAACTCTCATGACTATAGTTTCTTCGGTATCACTGGGATTTGCACGTTTTTGTGCACCCAAAGTACGCAACACCGATAGAATGTTGCGCAAACCGAAATCGTAATGGACTTGTTTTGACAACTGTTCCTCGCACAGTTTATAAAGGGTAAAGAATTTACGTGATAATACCAAATTATCCTTAAAACCACAACTGGCCAATTTAACTCGTATAATAATAGCACGATCAGGCACCATCATTGCCACTGAACGAAACATTATTTTCAAATTTTCGGGCAGTTCTTGACGGCCAGCATAGCCAGGATTCATAGTTATGAAAAGACCAAATTCTGGATTTAAAGTAACCAAATCACCATCACTAAATATAAATGAGGTTCGCTTTTCCCGGCGAGCTGTCAGCACAATGCTGAAAGATGAAATCGTTAAATATTTAGTAAATGATTTAAAATTTTACGATCTCACTAAATCTGTTGAGCTGCTACTGATAGCACAGGCAGCTCTATGCGATTGAATTCATCAAAACAACCCCATGATCCGGACTGAGCTAAACCTTTATAAATACGTCCCAAGCCTCTAAAATCCATTTGATCTGAGCAATTAAATACCACCACTAGTTTGCCCAAAGCACGACCCATATCTTTAGTAGTTTCTGTTTTACCAGTACCAGCGGGTCCCGCAGGAGCACCGCCCATAGACATGCCTATTATGGGTTAATTTTATGTTAAAAAAACTCATTTATCAAACAATTATTGTATACCTATAGCTTGAGCCAATGTTATATAACAACGATCGGTTAGAGGTGTTATGGCCAATCGTTCAGTAACACCCAAATATTCATTTTGATATATGAAATTAACATCCGTTATACCCACTATTACATCATCATTATCTTCATTATAATAAAAACGAGCCTGTTTTTGCCATTCAAAATCGCTTCCCGTTCGTATGCGCATTTGACATAAATCATCAAAAATGTCCCTGAAATTAATTCCCCCTTCAATAACTTTCTTTAACCTTATAAACCATCTTACCTCTGATGAACATGTATGGTTACCATTGTCTCAAAACGTATACGATCTAAAGCAGTCAAATCTTTAACGGTCAAATCAATAAAATGATTTAATAAGTTTAAAAATTTCGTATTTGTTCGTTTCATTATCGTCTTATCCGTGCGACATTTTCTTAAAGCATATTCGGCGTCTTTGGTCCAATACAATTGTACACCTATTATACCGGCTTGGCCACAAAATGAGGGAAACTCTTCAGCAAAGTTAAACTCGGGATCATTTAAGCTAACAGCCATTCCTGCCAGTATAGTTCGCATGGTATCCTGCATTTCTTTTAGTAAACGATTTAACCAGATTTCAACGCTGCCTGCACATTGTACCGGATTTTCCAATACGATTTTTTCATGATTTGCCGAATTAAGATTTACAATAACATCGTTCGTTTTTTCTTGGAAATCAACCTAAGAAATGTTTCAAAAAAATAAAAAATGTACTAGCTGAATTATAGATCTGTCTAAAGTCATGATTAGAGATTAGTCTCCAATTAAATCGGTTTATATTCATGAGAATAGATCAGTTTATATTCAAGACTACAGACTACGAGACTTTAGACTTTAAGAAAATAGACCGATCTGGTGGGAATCGAACACACACTCGGCCAACATGCCTAAGTTTTCGATTCCCAACTACTTTCAAACTAACTAACTAAAGCAATAGATAACTCTTCAGTCAAGACTAGATCAATTTATAATCAGGATTATAGATCAGTCTATAGTTTAAATATAGTCCTGACTATTGACTGATGTAGACTATACATCCGTCTACAATTAGTACAATTGATCAGTCATTAGTCAAGACTATAGATAAGTCTATAGTCAGGACTATAAATAAGTTTAAAATCAGGAATATAAATAAATCTATAGTCAGAACTATAGTCAATGATTAAGAGAAAAGTCTATAGTCAACATTATTGATCAGTCTAGAGTAAAGACTACAGATCAGTTTATAATCAATTCTTCTGGTAAATCTGATCAAATCTAAATAATTTACTTACATATGCCACCGCATCAAAAATACTCAACAAATGAGGTTGTATAGACGTAGGATCTGATGCTTGTCCCAATATTTCTAATAGTACAGGATCTGATACGAAGAAAAAACGTGGAAATAATAAACGTTTTGATTCTAAATAACCTGTCAATGATTTCTGACAAGTCTCCAATTGTTCCAGTAACCAATTCAAGGCATTAGCTAAACTTTCATCACCCGTACAACATTCCACGGCATTGGGTATCTCACGAGCTCTATACATTATTTTGACATAGTTTTTATCAATATTACTAAAACGTTTAGCTTCCAAAGGCAATTGTTTGGCGATGTCACCGCCCACAAATACCGCCTCCAAATAAATCCATAAATTCTGTACAATCAACCATTTCTCTAAGATTTCCCCAGTATTAACTAATTTACTTAACCATAATTGAATTTCCTTTTTAAACGGGGCATTATAGCGGTTAGATGACAACGAATTCATAACCATTATACTGTCCTCTAAAGAAGCAATTATTTCCAAGGTCTCACCACCCTTCAAAACTAATTCACCGCGTGTCTTGAACATGCCCAGCTGAACATTGACCAACGACCAATCGGCTATAACTTGTTTGAGTTTAGCCTCAATATCCAATTCCTTGCTGGCACCCACGCAAATATCTTCCACATCTTCTTTATGCTTTAGAATGGGTGCCTCCAACAGTTTGCCCAAGGTAAATTTAATGCTAGTGGGATCAAAGTCTGATTTGAGCAGAGCATTTAAACGCACCCAATGACGTTCTTTCATGGCCTTGTTGGTCATTAGCTCCAGTAGGGGACAGGTTTCATTGAAATCATCGATTTTGGTTTTCAAATCAATAAAAGCCGGCCACGTTTGCATGCCTTTAGGTAATTTACGGCATCTAACTTGAAAATCAGCCAATTCAGAACTGATCTTTTCAATATCCACTTCGGCCCAAGACATTTCATAGTAATCGGAAATAGTTTTCAGCACTTGTATGTACAACGAATACAAACGATTCAAGTAGTTGAATTCACGTTTACGTTGATGTAATAGAGGATATTCCGTTATGGGTAAACCAAATAGCTTTTCGCCGCTGCTATACATTTCATACTTGCGCCATAGTTCATCAAAACGATTTTGAAATAGAAACACACGATCGCTGGCTTCTTTGGCAGAAATACCCTCAACCATGGGACCGTTAGCCTCAAAGTCAGCATTAAATTGATCAAATTCTTGCACGAATAAAGCAATACCATCATTGAGTTCTTTAAGTAAAGGTCCCTCCATTTGAGAGATACGATCAGAGACTTTTTTGGCCTGTAGAATGAGTTTTAAAAACATATATCAATGATATTTAAACATAATTTTCGAAAATTTACATTTTCCAACATTTTATTAAAGGACAACTGCAAACTATCCACTTTATCGTAATCATCTTGAGGCACATAAATATTAAACTGAGAAAATAGGGCATAGGCATCGGTTATAACACCCAGATTCATGTCCATTCTAAAGAAGTATTATAATAAATTCAAAATCAGCTTAATAAAAACTAAAATCAGTTCAATAAATTACTGTATAAAGTTATCTCGAATTTTCTCCAAACACAACATGGCCAAACGTACATCATCCAAATCATTGATAGGTTTAGCTAAAATATTCTCTTGTTCAGCTATAAAGTCCACCATTTCATCTAATTGTTTCTTATATTGAGCACTTAACAATTGACCACATAAAGTTTTCCATTTTTTCGATTCCTCCACAAATTTATCAAATGCTTTTTCTACTCAAGTCAATGAAACCGATCAATTAACTAGAACGTTTCGTATTTTAACTCCAGCTTACCCATTCTTAATTCAATTGGTCCTATACAATGTCTCTTTTTACATTCCTCCAATTCGCTAGTTATATTATCGTAATAAATAAATTTATCTCGTATGTCGACAGTTAAGGGATTTGTATTTACAAATTCTTGTATAATCTTGTCACGATTCGAAACCCATAAATACTTATGCTTATCGAAAATATATTTAAGATAATCATCGATATCCTGTTTAAACATCATCAGACCATTAGCGAGATTTTGAACAGCTCTCATAATATCTTTATGTTCGATAACGTAACGAAAATAGTTGCGTTCATAACGATTTTCATCTGGAAATTAAGGAGGTACTTATACTAAAGTTCCATGTGTTTTTATTAGATCAAGTCTTACCTACTGTAACCCGTCTTAAACGTCTCTCATGTGTTTTGGCCTGTTTACCCCAAGTGGTAACGAAATAATTTATTTCTGTACAATTTAAAACAGCACGATGGAAATCAGTTTGCATAACTTCCATATTAGGCTCAATGCGACAACCACTTTCCAAATCAATATCTAATTGAGTATACAAAATCGGTGATTGAGGCTGAGTGCGCCAATTGGTTCTAAAATTAAATTTTACATACATTTTCTAAACTAAATTCATCTTTCACTAAATGCTTCCCTATATTACCTTAAAATATTATGACGCACATAATCCAGAGATCTCTTCGAACAACTCACTAAGGCCGATATCATTTTTGAATTATAATATGAAAACAAATCCATACAATCATTGCGCAAATGATTCAATTCATAGCGTATATTTTCATAGTTCTTGAATTGTAGTGTCTTGAGTATATCATCGGGTACCAAATAAATTGTACGATATATTTTCTGAAACTGTATCCAATCCCATTTGTCAATAGGCATTTGTCCTTCGGCACGATAATTGCTATCATTGATTTTATCAAGCGGCAACTGAAAGTTTCGTCGTCCCTTTGAATCAGTAGGCCCGAAATTAAGTAGTTCAACAAACATATTACACAAATCGATGACTGCACGTTCCATGCATACCGATTTCTTTTCCAGTTCTTTTTCGATTTCCATGCGTAAATTATTGCAATTTTCGTAGAATTTTTCAGATGTTACAGGCGCTGGCGGTACATACATGTAGAGAAAATCTTGCAAGGAAGCCATTTCTTTTGTTATGCGTATGGCATCAATATTGAGAATAGTTTTGTAAAAGAGTGATACATCGTCGATTTTCTATATATAAAGGAATTTAAAGTAAAAATAGTTCTGTAGACTTATTGATTCTCCAATATTTACTAATCAAAACTTTAAAGGACACAAAATAATAACATGCTAAACCTCCTACTTACCCTCTCCACACTTTCAACAAAATCCTCTAGATTTTCTGACAACCACGTAACCGTCGATAGAGCTGGTTTCAAAAGTAGAGCAATTTCTTGCAAACGAAAACGCATTATATTAATAAAAACCGGTGTAATTTTCAAACGTAAATTATCGAAACGTTGTATGGCATATTTCAATGCCTCTGCCGGTTTCAAAATTCGTTCTTTGCAATAGGTCACCACTGCTGCTATATTCGGTACTTCTAGCTTCAATTTCCACATCCATTCAGTTTCTTTGATCAGTTGTCTAATGGACGGATCCAGATTTACTATATATTCGGCTAATTGTTTATTGCAAATAAGTATGGGAGAATTAAGAAGACAGCGAACTTCTTCACAATAGTCAAACCAAGCCTTATGGTAAGTCATTTCGTAATGACATATAATGCCATTCATATAGTTATAATAGCGGACTGCTCTTTGGGCTTTTTTGTGGGCCAATACACAAGGACGCTTCTTTAGTATCTTCATGGGTTCATCGATTTTTTGAAAAATAGAACGTATCCACATTATACGTCCCGCTACCGGAGGCATATTGCGGGGTATAAAAGGATTACCACGTTCTTCATTGTAACTAAAAGATGATACATTCTCTTTAATATACATATTTTAAATAGTATCTCAGAAACACTACTTACACATCTTTAAGCAAAAACATTTCACGTTCCAACATTTCAGCCACCTCTAAATAACGACGATCCAAACATAAACATTCCAAATTTAAACGTTCAAATCTCTGTAAAATCAATATAACCGACTCGGTTATAGGAACATCAGCAATCTGTTGTTTAACAAATTGCTGCATGCCCACTTCAGCATGTTCACATTCTTTAATAAAATTAACATAATCTTTATCGAATAGATCCACACGATAATTTAAAGGATCATAAGCTTTTGAACTGATCGTAGCTCTAGCGCCCTTAATAATAGCATTAAATTTTTCCATACCACTAATACGTATGCGATCTAGAACCGAGTAAGTTATCTCCACATTGAATATAGTTTTTATCTAAGGATTTACAAAAAATGTAATTAAATTTGAATTTAAGCCCCCACCCCCCCATATTAAACAAACTAACCTTATCTAATCGTTCTAAGAACTTCTCCAGACAAGTAAATATATAAACCGAGGATACGATCCAAGGTTTTTCATTCGATTCAGACATATCACGACAAGTGCTAAAATATTGTTCCTTATAGCTTTGCATAACATTACGACATTTTTCAATTTTTGCTATAACATCATTTGGTGCCAGTTTCCATAGATTTAGGCGCCCATAATCGGTTAGGTAATTTTTACTAACTATAGTTAACTGATTTGATATCTTGACAAAAAGTCCAGTTACATTTGTGGGTGTATTAAAGTAATGTGCTGTTTTGGAGACATTACGTATGGCTACCATAAGACCGGGTAAACTGCTAATAATTCCATCTGGTGGTGATCTTTAAAGAGAATTGATTGAAAAAGTTAAATAGATGCTGTCACTAGATGTAGATTTATTTTTAGTAATTGCGTTAAAAAAAACTGATAAATTGGAAAAAGTCATATCTGGTAAACTATAAAAGATACAATAAAAATTTAACACATATCGTTGTTGATTAAAAAATAAACCGACAGGTGTCCGGTACTTTTTTGAAATTCGGCCACTATTATATATTTTTTCTCTTTTTATACCCTACACCACTTTAGTAGGGAGGGTATATTGGATTTGTGCTGATGTTCGCAATTTTCAAGATAATTGGATGAAATTTGGCACGCGTTTTATTTGACCCAAGGACGAAGCCTATTGAAAATGTTTAAAATCGGTCCATTATTTCACCTAGCCCCCATAGAACAGAACCCCCCGAAAAGGGCTTCTGAGCTCATAATTATGTTAAATATACAGATATATCGATAAAATACGGCATAACTAAGTTTTATAGAAGTCTTGATAACTCTGCCAAATTTCATAAAGATCGGGCCCCATTTGACCCTAGCTCCCATACAAAGTCCCCTTCAGAAAATAACTTGAATGTCCTAAATTAACTTATAAACACAAATATCGCGATGAAATTCAGCACAATAAAATATTATGTAAATATATTCACAAAATTTTATCGGGTTTGGTCCATATTTGCCCCTAGCTCCCATATAAAGCCTCTTTCAGAAAATTAGTTTTTCATCCATAAATTGCTTAAATGTATCGGAACAAGGGAATATTGAAGATAAATGCGATATTATGAAAAATAAATCACATTTAATATTCATAACTGGTGTAGGGTATCATATGGTCGGCCACGCCCGACTATACTTTCTTACTTGTTTAACATTTCAAATATGACCAAATATATAGCTTCTTATATACTTTAGGCTACAATATCTCGAAAATATAATGGAGATATTGTAATGCCAGATTCTTCTTCTTTAAGTGAGATCCATCTTCAAACTCAACTTATCGGATCAGCAGTTTAGAAATGGCGGATGTAATTGCAAAAAAGTAATCAAATTATATATATGTATGTACCTGTATAAAGGATCCCAAAATTTTTGCAATGAGGTTATATAACGAACATTATCTTTTGCCTCGTTTAAAACCAATGTTACTTGATTATCAATTTCTGCCCATTTCTTAAAACAAAACAAAAATAAATTTAAAATTTATAATTTTTACAAAAATAAAATTAACATAAAAACCTTTAAAAGTTTCGAAGATCTTGATAGAATCAAACAAGTCTTGTGATTATTGAAAGCCTGAGACGAAACAAATTCCTTAATGGACGTATAACGAGCTAACATACGCCGCCAATTGACCAACATTTGTAGAGGACCAACATCGGGAGCATCTCTTAGAATTTGTTTTCCCTCCACTAGAATACCTTGGATTTGGCGAAGCCATTGACCGAAATAACGTTCAACCAAACGAACACGATTAACATCCTTCGCACTGGCCTCTATTTGAAATTTCACCAGCAGGAAACCTTTGAAGAGTTCATGAGAAACTTCAAAGTTAACTCGTGATGATGCAGTAGCTTCGGAAGATTTCAGAAATATATTAAACATATTGAGAGTGTGGAAAAATTTATTCTTTTGTTCCATTTCGGCAACGCCAAATTCTGAAACGGCTTCTAAAGATCTAGTCAATATACGATATACAAACTCTTTAATCACATATAAACATAAGTCTTTCTTGGCGGCATCCCAACAAAATAAGGCCACATCATCGGATACAGTACGATTATCCACATTCTTTTTATTATTATTCCTATATACCACCACCCATTTGCCGAATAACTCCACATTATCGCTACCTCGAATAATAGTACGTTTAACAGTTTGCCTTTTCATACTCTCAACATAACGACCCGACTCCGGAGGATAACCCTGCATTGAGGCATAACTAATCATGCAAGAACGTGGCCCCCCATTTTCGAATATTCCCGATAATAAGTCAACAAAGGCGGGATCGTCTACGGCTCCCATTATTATTTCCTCCGTATCAGTACCCATAAGATCGGCCACTATTTCCAGAACATATCGGTGATTGGCACCAAGCGAAGAGATGCGCTGTTGTCTCAATTCTTTGAAATGTTGCAGTCTTTTGCGTTCAACCTCTTCTCTCTCCTGATCGGTTACACTTAAACGGCGGGCAGTCTGCTTTTGTATGGTGTGCGAGACACCGAATAATTTTCGTAATTTTTTAACATTGCGTTCGGGATCAATTCCTTTAACTTGGACATAATACGATGTACTACTGCGATCATCTTCATCCTTTTTCAATTGATCATCTCCATCCATTATCGTTATAATTAATAATATTTGTTAAAAGTTATATTTTACTATTAAAATTATATTTTATTGAAAATGTGATTAGTTTTGTGAAAAAATTTTCCCAAACTGAAGTTTATTTGTTAGAAAAATTACTCATAGAGTTTATGTCGATATTGAGTGGATTTTTTTTTTTTTTAATTTTTAGACGAGTTTATAAAGTATGATTTCCAGGGATGCCGTTAGATTTTTCATAACTCTTCGATCCTTTATTAAGCCTAAATAAGTTGTTGTAACAGCTACAACTGTACAATAATCTAGTTGGGGGTTTAGCATCAAAACCCATTCCTAAAAATTATGGTATTTTAACAGTATGTGTCTATAATTCCAGTGGACAAAGTGAAGAAGGATTAGCTAAGCAAATTTATATGTGGACCACAAGCTAATCATTCGTTGGTAGCTTAACGAGGAGGACCTTCGTGTCTTCGTGTAGGTAATGTTCCAAGGTAGTTAGTTAGTTAGTTAGTTAGTTAGTTAGTTAGTTAGTTAGTTAGTTAGTTAGTTAGTTAGTTAGTTAGTTAGTTAGTTAGTTAGTTAGTTAGTTAGTTAGTTAGTTAGTTAGTTAGTTAGTTAGTTAGTTAGTTAGTTAGTTAGTTAGTTAGTTAGTTAGTTAGTTAGTTAGTTAGTTAGTTAGTTAGTTAGTTAGTTAGTTAGTTAGTTAGTTAGTTAGTTAGTTAGTTAGTTAGTTAGTTAGTTAGTTAGTTAGTTAGTTAGTTAGTTAGTTAGTTAGTTAGTAGTTAGTTAGTTAGTTAGTTAGTTAGTTAGTTAGTTAGTTAGTTAGTTAGTTAGTTAGTTAGTTAGTTAGTTAGTTAGTTAGTTAGTTAGTTAGTTAGTTAGTTAGTTAGTTAGTTAGTTAGTTAGTTAGTTAGTTAGTTAGTTAGTTAGTTAGTTAGTTAGTTAGTTAGTTAGTTAGTTAGTTAGTTAGTTAGTTAGTTAGTTAGTTAGTTAGTTAGTTAGTTAGTTAGTTAGTTCGTTTGAAAGGAAGTTGTATAATATATAATATATACATTGTATATACATCAAATCCGAAGAAATACACCTAGGCCTCTATCGGGCCTGTTGTGCGCTCCTTAACCAGTGCCTCAGGTGGGAATCGAACCCACCACCTCCGGTCTACTAGTCTAGAACACTCTACCAGACTAGAACAACCACTAACCTACCGGAGGCCACAATGTTCCAAGGTAATTTCCGGCATTAATGAAATTTGTGCTTGATTGCAGTGGCTGTCGAATTTGATTCCCAAACTTTTGAGTTGTGCACAGTAGGCATTATTGCGCCTAGCGTTAAATTTACTTCCTTCGTCCAGTTGGTTGTTGCTACCTGATTCATTTCGTTCCATTTATCGGCACGCATAGTTTATCAACTACGCTTTGTTTAACTCTGCATCGTTTGGAGCGTTTATTTCTATATTCTACGAACGATTGACGACCATTCAGATTATTCACAATACATCTCTTCGTGTTGTTGCATAGTGGATTGCAGGATATCCTCGAGGATTGTGGCATGACTGACAGTTCCGAAGGGTTTCGACAGGTCTAGCGCCACTATGACTATACATTCACAGGGCCTATTCTGGTTTTATAATTGTGGGTGGCAATGTCGGTTAATTTGGAGGAGAATTTTAGGGAAACCATGGTGGTGAATAGTCTCAATAGGTAATATCCCCCATATCAACTATCGGCCTGTCTTTTCCAGGTTTTAAAGCAGGAATGACTTAACCCTTTTTCCAGGCTTCGGGTTTTACGAGGCCGCTCACTTACATGTTGAAACCCATAGTCAGCTACTCAACTCCCTGCACGCGAATGTGTCAATTAAAGAGATGAAATGTGTCGTGAGTGATTTTAAGAAATCTGCTCCAACTGGCTTCTTATTCTGATAAAATTCTTATTGTTTACCTAGACAATTGCATTCCATTTTCCAAAATTAGATGAGGTTTAGACCAATATCCAATAATGGCTTCATAAAGTCTGACCGGATGTATAAAAGGTGAAATCTATCACATCTACCAGCATTATATTATGTGTGACAGATATCATCCTGATTTCCTCATACAGGTAAAGATAATTGGCAATGACATTGTTGGGTAGAGTTCATGATATCATTAAACCGTCGAATTATCGAAGATAATCATCAGATAAGTTTGTAAAGTCATGTCATTGTTGTAATTTACTCTCGGACCTTTATTATTTACGACTACAGTGACGGTTTAAAAGTTTGAGTTTTTCCAGATGTTTTAATCAAGTACTTGCGGACACACAGTGAAAATATTGTGGGAGCTTATATATCTTTCAGTAACTCATGTAGGCGATTCCTAAGTATTCTGGCGGCGCAGTCTAAGTATTCTATATGATCTGAAATGTTGAATCATTCAATAATTGGACGTTGAAAATCTCGTTTTAAGCATTGAAATCCCAAAGTATTAATTTGCAATTTCGAGTTCAGTATCTACCCAGATGATCAACTCTCAGCCTATATCAGACATTTTGCACGAAAATAAAAGATAATCTTTCAATGATGAGAATACGTTTCGGTATGATTACTGAGTTAGTAACATTATCGGTTTTATTATAGTAGCGTTTGTACAAGTCTGTGATAAAGTGTTGTGTGTTGTTGAGACCACAGTGGGTGCTTTTAATTTGGGATTATTGCAAAAATGCAAATAGCGAAAATGCAAATAGTTGCTAAACTTAAAAAATTTTAAATACAGAATAGAGTTGATAGTGTAAATCGAGCTGCATTAAATGGGGAATTTAGATAGTCAATGTTGTGAGGAATGTCGTAGATTAAATACGGAGGTCTTCAATCATAGTTATTATATCTACTGCAAAGAGGAATATAGCTTTTACAAGACCTTTACGATAGAGGGGGAATGAATACAAAATCAGATCAGATGCATTAACAGCAGAAACATAATAATTAACCAAACCGCCCAAAATGTTTTAATGCAAAAAAGACAAATAATTAAAACATAAATGATTTAAATTAATTACACATTTTTTTATATTAAAACCAACCAACAGTGTTTTAAAGTAATTATTACATTAACTACCAAAAAATGTATTTATATATAAAACTGAAAGCAAAAACGTTTTTATATATAATTAGATTAAAAAGAAACATTTTTAATTAACTAACCTATAATCTCTTTTTTGTTTTAAACATTTTTTCTGTTTAATGTTTTAAAATGTGTTATTTATTTAATATTTTGTAAATATGTGTGGCTTTTTTAAGTTTTTTTTTTTAAATTTTTTGTTGTTTTTTTGTTAAAAATTCTTTATAACTACACAATGAAATAACTAACACTACTACATATATTTAAATAAGAAAAAAATATGCAAAAAACTATATTAATAATTAAAAAAAATATTTACAAACTTTTGCAAAGTTTCATTTTTTACATAGATAGAATTTGTTTGTTTTGCTTTTGCAAACAGAGACAAAATTTAAAAAAAAAAAAGAAGAGTTAATGAAGAAAGGAAAGAATGTATGGTTAAAGTAGAGTAGGAGGGTAGATAGTTGGGGTGCATTTACAACAATGTGTGATTTATTTTATTTTATGAGTTTTAAAAATAAATTCTTAATTTAATTAAAAATGTGCGTTTGCTGTAATTCTTTTCTTTTGTTTGTTTCATTCTTTCTTCCCTTTCGAAAAACTTATTCATTTCAATTCATATTATGAATTCCATTAACAAACTAATTAACAATGAAATGTAAATTATATACATTATTTTAATTACAATAGAATTATTTAAAAAAAAAGGAAACCTAAGACTTATTATATGTAAATAAAAATTTAAATAAAAAACTTGTAGCAAGATAATAATAAAAATAATTAAATATGTATTTAGTTGTATATTGTATATTCTGTTTTTAAGGTTCAACCTGTTGTGTTGCACTGTTGTTGGCTGTTTTTGTTGTTTCTTGTGTAGCATTAGTTGCTGTTGGTTCAATTGTTAAATTTTCATTGCTGCTTGTTGCTGTAGTCGTTGTTGTGGCCGATATTTTATCGCCAGACATAGACGTAGCTAAATGATTATTGCTAATAGTATTACTGGTTTTTATATCTTCTTGTTTTGAGATTAAAGTTGTTGTTGTTACTGTTGTTGGGACTGTTCCTGTTGCTGCCGAAGTACTAGTTGCAGTTGTTGTTTTTTGTTGCATATTATTTTTCTTATTTAATATTGTGCTGCTGGTGGCTGTAGTTGTTGCTGTTGTCGTTGTTGAAACATTAGAGCTGGTACCGTCTTCTTCGATATATTCAATAGCTGTATTTTCATCAATTTCTGTAACTAGAAATTAAATCAAATGTAAATACAAGATTTTGCCAATAATTTTATAAAAAATATGTAATAAAAAATGAAAACAATAATATTCTTTTAACATAATAAATTGTCTCACCAATTGTTTCATCAAATCCAGCATCAATGTCACACTCGGCATGCTGCTGCAATGGTTGCTGATGCTCTTCACGATGCAATTGTTGTGTCTGATCAATATCTTCAGTTCTTGTTGTTGATTCTTGAGCAGTTAAAAAATGTCTAGACTGATGTTTTTCATCATCATCACCACCATCACCTTCTTCATCATTAACATCAATGTCGACATCGTCATTATTGTTTGTTGTTGTTATTTGAGCAACTCTATTATCGTGACCATCATGTTGTTGATATATTTGCATATCCAATATTTTTGGTATGTCATCCGAAGGCTGCTGTTGATGTTGCTGCTGCTGCTGCGAATGCTTATCTAATGATGTAACTGAGGATGCATCGTCTTCATGTTCTTCGACAATAACATCATCAAAACTATCATCGAGTACAATCATATTATTGGCAGAATTTGTTGTTGTGACAATTGTAGGATTCGATGATTCCTTTGCTTTGAGCTCCATTGAAATGTAATCGTTGTTTAAACGTTTTTGCTTAATTACATGACTGCTGGGACTGGTAGACGTTTGCTGTTGATTGCCGGAAGTAGATGTGGTCGCCGAGGAAGATGTCGATAAAGTTCTTTTGTTTTGTTTAAGATTTTTATTATTGTACTGATTCTGTTGCTCAATGTCCAACTTCATTTCCCAGTCTACATTTAGAACAACCGTTTTGGAAGGCTGTTGTAAATGTGTTTGGTCTAGGATGATGGGGGCAGCTAGAGTAGAAGAAGGGCTAACATTGCTGGCATCAATTATATTACTCTGTAATACTGTTACGGTTTCAGCTGCCGAAGATGACGAAGTAACACCAACGCCTGGCTCCATTACTATGGGCATATTAAGAATATCAAGGGGTGTATCTTCATTAATAAGTTGAGAGTTTTCGAGTTTGATGCCTTGCGGAAGTTGTTCCTTTACCGGCGTAGTGGGCGATGGACCCAACACTACAATATTTGATTTGGCAATGGTATTATCACCAGCTGACGCTATTGTTGTGGTGGGTGAGGTGGGGGTCATTTGTTGATTTGCGGAGGATTTGAGCAGTATATTATTACCCATTTTCGAAAGCGTTACTGGTCGTACATTTGAGGCTGAGGTGGGCATGAAAATCATATTACTTTTACCCGTTTTAGCATTGATATGATTACCTGCCGTTTGAAGAGCCCCTCCAGGGGCAGGCGAACCAATTGGAGCTGGTATAATCTGTACCTTTTGTATGGCTATACGTTGACCACTGCTTGTTGTTGCCGTACTGTTCGCAGTGGAAGTATTTGATATAATTTTATGTGACATTGTGCCGGTGTTTATTTTCATCTTTGAGCCATCAACTAAATTGGCCGGCTGTATAAACACTTTACCATTAGGTGACTGGCAAATTTTAACACTTGTCCGCACCATTCCCGAGGTGGAGGGTAGCACATTTTTAAAGGTACTAGTTGTGGTAAGGTGAGTTCCAGCACTGGATGGATTTACGCTGACCGGAGTTAATTTAACATTGCTGATGATGTGTGGGGCTGAGGAGGGTGAAGTGGATTTAGTTGGTGTAGTAGCAGATACCGAAGATTTTATTATATTTGGTGGTTTCCGGAACACTGTAGCTCCAGCGCCCAGCGTGGAGATAATCGGATTATTTGTGCTTGTAACAGTGACAGGTGTTAGATTTGCAGTACTAGTATTCAATACCATACTGGAAGGTATGTTCTTTATGATGGTTGTTCCTCCAGCTGTTGAAGTGGTTGATGTTATGCTTACAGAACTCGTAGGAGACGAGGCCATCACCAATGTTGAGTTGTTGAGTAGAGTATTATTGGCATTACTCTGATTTCCCGTCGTCCCCGATGATAAAACCAAAGGTAAAATTTTAGTAGTTAAGACCTTACTTTGTGATGAAGCTGTCGATATATCGGGGGATGTTGCTGTATTGGTTCCACCAGTATTATGTATTTGAATAACAGCCGGTGGAGTGTGCAATGGGGTAGCATGAGGGACATTTGTGGGGTTATTATTTCCGCCCGCTTCTACAATATGTAACACCTGACTCTGAGTGCTGGCAATATTGGCTAATTCGTGTAAAGCCCCCGCATTTATGGTAGAACTAGCGCTACCGCTGCTGCCACCAATAGCAGTCGTTGTAATCTTTTTCGTTGGTGTAGAAGTGATTTTAGTACCCGGTGCTATGAGAGTAGTGTTAACAGCACGCAATTTTGTAGCGGCCGCTGATATTTGTGGAAAACTCATGATTTGTGGCTGCTGTCCGGCATTTGATACCTGTATAATATGCGTTTGTGTTGTTGATGACGTTCCATGGGGATTTTGTATATTGACTAAGGTGCCAGTATTAGCTCCTGCAGGTAAATTAATTGATACACCTGGCTGACGTTCCTCTACAATATACTTTTGAACTGGTGTTGTAGATATTAAAGTTTTCTCACTTGGTTTGATTTTATCACTAGTGGATGATGATGAAGATGACGAAGTTAATATACTACCCAAACTTGTTTGTAAATCATGCGATGGTATGGGCGCAGGAAGAGACGATGGTATATTTGAAACACTCGAAGATAATTGTTGTTGGTTTTGCTGCATTTGTAATTTATTAAGATTCTTGGAAATATCACGTTTTGAAGCTGCTATTTGTGGGGAAGATAATGGAGTTATTAAAGAGGGAGGTGGATGCTGGTTAGAAGACGATACTGGTATAGTTATGGCAGATGTTGGTGCTGCACCTGCTGCCGACAACGCCGTCAATTGCGAATGTGCCATTTCAATATCTTTTTCCATAAATATTTGTTGCGGCGGTTGTTGGTGATGTGTCGCATATGTAACAAATTGCATGTCTATTTGTTGTTGTGTCAGTATAGCTTGTGCTCCAGCTGCTGTTGTTGCACCTGCACCACCAACAGTTAAATCTATTTGCATTGGCACCTGTTGTTGTTGCTGCTGTTGCTGTTGTATATCCATTTGTAACTGTTTCATGGCCAACTGTTTCTGCTGTTCTTGTTGAAGTTTTTGATTTGCTCTTCGACCGCTTTTAGCCGGTGTCGCCTGTCTTTTTATGGGGGTACCTCCTCCACCTCCAACACCCATAGCTGCATTATTGGCTGCTGCAGCAGCAGCGGCAGCCTTTTTAGCCATTTTTTGTTTAGCCAATTGATGCTGCCGATGGAAAAATCTTTGCTTCTCCATATATTGGTCTGTTGCATTTAGCTTTTGTTTGCGTTCGCCGCTTACATTCGTCGAAGATGTTGCATTGTTTGTTTGTGGTGAATTTGCTGTAATGTGTGGATAATTCTTACGCGCTGTCTGTGTATGTCCTTGTTGAGCTGGATTTTCGCCTGTCGATCGTTTTTTACCCGCACCACTGTTCTGATGATGTTCACTATTACGTTTAAGATTCTTTTTGGGATTTTGTGGTATTTCAGGTATTTGAACTGGAAAATGTTTAAGCAAATCAAATAAATAACGCAACTAAAAATAATTATAATCCTAAATTGAATTGATAATGTTATATAACTTAACATTTTAACTTTCAGGTTTGAGTTAAAAATAACATTATGGAACGAAGAAACGGGAGCGCTCAGTATAGATAATGTACACTAACTGCATCTTAATTATACAAGGAACTAACTGAACTTGGTGTTCAGCAATACAAGTAAGGTCATGCAAGTAGTCAAGGGTAATCTGTTTTTGGTTAAATTTGATATAACAGTATTAGTCCTCTTCATCAGAAAATATTAGATGGCGAGTTTTTTATTTATATTTTAGATTGGAAGACTCAGATACACTTTAGTAACAATAAAGCTTAGGTTAAGTTCGTAGGGCAGCCAAAGCTAAGAAAGAATTAATTCCTGAATACAGTTTTTGATTGTATTTTCGTTCAATTCTTCAATCGCATCAACTAAAAAAATCATGATTTTGTTATACCTAATTGATGAAGTTTCCTCAAATTTAAAATATAAAAAAACTTGATGGAAAGTAAATGTTTCTATAAAAGGTAATGATTCTAAATTTTATTAAATTATTTTAATTTTCTTGTTTCCTTTTTTCTTATCAAAAATAATATTCCAATTTATCGTTAAATATTTGAAAAAAATGCTCGCAAACATCAATAATATGGCAACACCATAAAATGCCCGTTAATTATGTTCTATTAATTGAAATGCAACTCTGTATAACATTAAAAACTCTATTTTGCAACTATTGTGTATGACTTTGATAAGGTAAGTTTATACACGAGTACGATCCTTTTTGTAACCTACTTTAAATTGATTTTATTCAAATTCATCTCTTAAAGGAAGCAATAAATTTAAAATCATGAATTTAAATAAACTAAAAGCAATTGAATTATTCTTTTGGAATGAAACTAACGTTAAATCTATAAATCTCTTAAATTCCACATTAAAATTTTTAAGATTTTAATTATGAAATGTAGCAAATTACTATATTCCAATTGTTCAGCATAAAATTAAATGTAATGCCATGAAGTAATCCAGTGAATACATACATCTGGTACAGTACCTGTTCCGATATTAACGTTATCAAAATTTCAATAAAAACTTTTTTTTTTGGAATTTCATGATCACTGATTCAAACGTTAGTTCACTAACATTATGGAGAATATTTTCCATTGTTCATAAATTTAATCTGGTTTATGTTAACGTTAAAAAAATTAAAACAAAATTGTTAAAAACTAAGTCTACTTAGACACGATTTTAAGCCGTCGCCAAATTGTTGTGTAAGTCAACGCCGTCATTAATTTTTATCGACGCAAGTTTCAGTAAACAATATAATAAACGAATGCAACAAACTTTGACTAAAAACAACAAATACTAACAATATTTATAAAATAGCATAATTTTACATTAATTACTTCATTAAACATGAATACATTGAAAATAAACACACTTGTTTCGCAAACTTTATTCCTAGCACTTATATAACCCATGGCACTGATTTTTAGGCAACATATCAAATGGGTACTCACCGGATCATTAGTTACTACATAATTACTGCGCTCTACGGCAGCTTCCAAAGATTTTTGTAGTTCTATTTGTTGTTGCTCTTCTTTAACAGCATCTGCAGTTTCTGCTGGGTATGGTAGCTTTGAATTTTCTTGAGCCGTTTCTTCGGCCACATTATTGGCTAATAGGGCCAGTGCTGTCTGAGGAGCCACACGTGGCAACATGGGATAAGGACGCCTACCTTCACGAGACCACTCTTGCCATGTATTAGGGCCAGAAATTCTAGAATTAAATTCATTTGAATTAGTTTTCTCTGACTAGACACTAAAGAAAGCAAAAGAAAAAAACTTACGCTTCTGCAATTGTAGCCAATTGTTCATCATTGGCCACACGTCTGGCTTCGGCACGATGTCTTTCATTTGATATATGAAATATACCACGCAATTCCTCTAATAATTTGGCCTTGGCATCACTTAGACCTCCCTGAGCGCGAAACACACTTATCACTTGAGAATATGATTCCAGCTCTAAAACGATGAAAATAAAATCACAATATTTACACTAATTAGTTATGACAAAGATGAAATAAGTTTGGATATTTATTTTCCATAAACACATTTCGTCCACAATAATGATGGCATTCGCCTAATAAAGCTAACGTTTCACTTAATACACTACACAGTGGTGTACCACTTTTTCACATTATGTACAGCACACGACGAACGACAAACCTACCAAGTCTCCGTAATATGCCTCGACATTCGTCCCTGGTCATTTGCAATGCTTGTGGCCACATAATGCCTGCGTTTTTTATTTGTTTCTTTTAAGAAACTTTTACTTAGTTCACTTCTTGATCAATTAATGTCCTCTTTATTTGTTAAAAATTGCAAATTGGAGCGAAATTTTTCGAAAAAATGGAAAAAATCCCACTGCTGCTTCTTCGTTCGAGAGGATTGGCAGCACAAAGTATATTAATTGTAAGGTTGTGTTCAGAGGGCAGCTGATTGTTTTTTGCTAATACACTTTTGTTTTTTATATATGGATTTTGACATTTGACTGGTACCCTAAAATGACAGCAGACTGTCAAACTCCATAAATAAAAAATACAATAAATTCGCTCGTTTTGGCTGAATTCTCCGTCGACACCACCTTATATTTAATATTTTTTGGCAGCCATTAATGTTTATTTGTCAGAAAATGACTTTAGGAAGTGTTCGTAGGCAATGTCTTGTATAAAATATATATGGTTATTGTTGACAATTTTGCGTTTTTATTTGCCTAATTAGAATAAATACGAAAATATTTTATTTATTTATTTTATTATTATAATATTAGCAATACAATAATATAAAATAGCGATCCAAAGCCTTTAGAGCCAAAGTATAAATATGTATTTGTTACTTAGTAATAAAAGTCTTGAGTATACAAATTGCCAATTAAGATTTCCGGCAATCATTACGAAATCTAATAAGAAAATTTATAATATATACAAATGATACTGAATTTGAATATCTACTGCATTACTTCAGTAAAGTCGACTTTTCGACTTTTTGCATTTAGTTAAAAGTCGACTTTTCGACCTTTCGACTTTTTCCATTTTATGAAAAGTCGATTTTTCAACCTTTTTCATTTATTTAAAAGTCGACTTTTAGACTTTTCGACTTTTAGTATTTTATAAATGGTCGACTTTTCGACTTTTTCCGACTTTTTTCGACTTTTCGACTTTTTTCGACTTTTCGACTTTTTCCGACTTTTCGACTTTTTGATTTTTTACGACTTTTTGACTATTTTCGATTTATTTCGACTATTTTTTTTACTTTTTTCGAGTTTTTCCGACTATTTTAAAGTTTTCGACCTCTTTTCCACTTTTTTAAAATTTTCGACTCTTTTCTACTTTTTTCGACTTTTTCCGACTTTTCGACATTTTCCGACTTTTCGACTTTTTTCGACTTATCGACTTTTTTCGACTTTTCAACTTTTTTCGACTTTTCGACTTTTTTCGACTTTCCGATTTTTTTACTTTTCGACTTTTTTCGACTTTTATTTACAAAGTCGACTTTTCGACTTTTTTCATAGACGATAGTCGAGTTATCGACTTTTTTGGAACAAAATAGTCGACTTCGACTTTTCGACTTTTTTCGACAAAAAGTCGATTGTTCGATTATTCGAAAGTCGATTTATAAAACCCTAGTACAAAATGGTAGTTGTTGATTTTCTCGCTGAAAATGGCATCAAATTAATAGTTCAGTTTAACTGAAGTTTTATTTTCGGTTGTAACATCAATACATGATCATGATCAGTAATTATATTTTCTCCATAGTACTTAAATTATTAATGAATAATGAGCGATTTTTAGATTTAGAAAATTGTAAAGATTGAAGATAAAACTGTTTCTTCTAAGAACAATTTGTACTATGCAAGGTGTAACAAAGTCATCAGCTTTTGTATATAATTTGCATATGTACTTCATGCAAAATCGTTAACGTAAATCGGCTTTCAAATAACATCGATAAATCGAAATAAAATTCCATGTAATAAAATAATAGAATCGATGTAATGTCGAAATTAACAAGTGTTTTTTTTTGTTTGGCCTATAAACTGGACCATAGTCTAGAGTCTAGACAAGAGTTTAGACTTTATACAGGAATCTGGACAAGATTCTTGACTTAGACTTGAGACTAGACTATAGTTTTGACTATAGTCTTGAGTATAGACTATATACTGAAGCATATACGAGATATTATAGTCTGACCTAGATCTTATGAACTAGAATGTAGTCTGTAATAAAAATATTTTATTTGTTTTAATCGTTTTATTTTTAGCTACTGTCCCAAGTTCATAATAATAGTTACAAATTAAAATAAATTATAGTTTCAATTTACAAATTTATTTCAACTCTCCGCAAGAATATATTACAACTTTTTGTGAAGGAGTACCAGCCTTAGAGCCACAACGCTCAATTTTCCGTACCACATCAGCCCCACTTATGACATGTCCAAATACAACGTGCTTATTATCCAACCAGTCAGTTCTAAAATAATTTAAAAATAATTGAATTTAAAAAGACGTTAACACTTTTTGGAACTTATGTATAGAAAAACCTGATAATTATTGCCAGTTTTCATATTTTTTGTTATCAAAACCAGCTTTTAATTTCTTATTAAGTTATCATTTTACTTACTTTGTAGTACAAATGAAAAATTGTGAACCATTTGTGTTAGGACCAGAATTCGCCATTGATAAAGTACCAAAACCATTATGTTTTAAGGTAAAATTTTCATCAGCAAACTTTTTGCCATATATTGATTTACCGCCGGTTCCATTATTATTTGTAAAGTCTCCTCCCTGACACATCTGCAAAAATAATCAATTATATTATAATCTAATTTAACATAATCTAAAATAGATTATTTTCTTACAAATTCGGGAATAACACGATGGAATGTACTGCCTTTATAACCAAAACCGTGTTCATGTGTACATAAAGCTCTGAAATTTTCCGCTGTTTTTGGTACTACATCAGCACGCAACAACATCACTATCCGACCGGCATCGTTGCCACCAATACGTATATCAAAGAATACCTGAGGATTACGTTTTTCAGACTTTTCTATAACAGCTGGGCCGGTGGAGGGAGTTTTCGTTTCTTCAGTTTCCATTTGTACAGGTTCGCCACTGACCGTTTCGCCTTCATTACTTTCCTTGAGAGTGGCACCAGCATGTTTTTGCAACCAATCGTCATCAGCCCAAACAGGTTTGAAACTTCCCTCCTTAATACGCACTGGTTTGGCTAAATTCACACGTATTGTACGGCCACAAAGTTCAGCATCATTCTTTTTATTTAAAAAAACACCATTAAATTGAAATAAAATAGTTATAACATTACTTACCATATTATCTATTGCGGCAGCTGCATCTTCAGCAGATTCATATTCTATGAAAGCAAAACCTCGATGTTTCTGCGACTCATAATCAACTGGAATTTGTATGTCTGCTATATCACCGAATGGTATAAATGCATCATTTAATAGCTTCTCGGTTACCTCATCGGCTAAGGCACCCACATATATAGTGCGTTTGTCATTAGACATTGTAAATTATAATTTTTATTATTATTTTAGTTTCTATACGTATAAAATGTATTTTCTCCTAATTAATGTTTACAAAAATAATTTTAGGTTAGTTTATTATTTGTTTACATGCTTCTTCTTATTCATTCTGCATTCAAAATATGTGTCTAACAACAATTCACAATAATGTAATGTTTACAAAACACTCAAGGCGTATTTTATGTAAGTGTATAAATGCACACATTTAATAAAATTTATATATAAACTAGCAATCAGTTAACTGCCAAAATCTTAATAAAAAAACTTGACAGTTAGCTAATTTTTCTCTGATGCGGTCACTTGCTTAATACCATTTGACTTTGCTCATCTGAGCAATTTGATGAACCAACAATAACAATTCAAAGTGAATGGATATTACAAAAAAAAAAAGAAGACTCCATCAGAATAATAAAAAAAACTCCGATAAACAATGAAGTTATGATAACCGGTGTTAAAAAATAAAATAATTAAATAGTTTAATTTATTAAAAATCATATTAAGCAATATGTTTCGTACAGCTAAGTATAAATTCGATGTTACCGAAGTAACCAGGAAACTATTTGTTTCCTATCGTCGACTTTTTGCGGTGATGTTGGGAGTTTGTATCTTTTTTTACATATTACCACCCATCTTTCGATATCTGTTTATGAATGCACCGGAAAAGAAAGGTTTGTTAAAATCTGCAAATATTGATTTGTGAAATATTTTTCTATAAACATTATTTATGCTAATATAGATCCGCTAATGCAATGTATGGACGACCGTTTGACACCATTTTTCCTACAAAATTTCGAGTTCGATGCCAACATACGTCACGTGCCACCTTTAGCGGAGGAGCGTAACATTATACCTTATGTTGGTAATGGTTATATTGGCTTAGAAATAGCTCATGATGCTCCTTTGAATATAAAGTATGGACGTGCTATGCAATTGCCCACACAATTTCATCCAGTCGTATCGGTTAAGGAGACCGATGAGGCTGGACGAGAAGCCACAGTTGTTGAATATTTGACAGGCATTGCTTGGAGGTAAGTGGAGGGTTAATTTTTTAATGTCGGTTATTTGACCAAAGCCCACCAAAGTATAATTTCTTATTTTGGAAATTGTTGGATAATAATTTAAATTATCTTTTAACTTTTAGATTTCAATGCTTTTCAAATATGTTCGTCTCTTATTCATACTATGCACATCGTACACATCCAAGTGTTCTCATGCAGGAAATCAAAATTACCAATACACGCAATACAATGGAAGAGGTCAACATAATCCTGCCACGAGTACACTTTCAAAATCCTACAACACGGAACATACAATTGGGCTCCACTGAAACTGCTAAACAATTTGACGTTATAACGGGTACAATCCATCCGAATCCCGATGATGCCTCAGTAGTAATAGTGGTGACAATCGTAAAACCACAAATGTCACGTAACATACAATTGAAAAAGCGAGGCAGCATTAAAATGGAAATACCCATCGCTGTTCACTACTCAAAACCTTTGAAGAAAGAACAACAGCAGCAAGTAAGTAACACCATAGAAGAAACTGAACAGAAAGCCATTATGGCTATGACCAAGGTTTTACAAAGTCTGCAAAGCAAATCAGAATCGGCTAGTACAGCCGTACACAACTATCGACAATCTCACATAAATGTTTGGTCGGATCTATGGGCAACCGGTTTTACAATAAGTACTTCCAAAGCGGAGAATAGTTTGAATGGCGACCGCATCAATGCCACCATGTATGCAGTGCTCTCCCAAACACGCAGTTATGAATTTGAAGAATTCGTTTCCGTTTCGGCTCCCTCTAAACAGGATATTGCGAAAGCTTTGACCTATGCCGAGGGTTGTTATGATTCATATCATACACTGCAAGCGGATAATTTATGGCTAC